AGAGTAGCCTCCCAAATGCACCCCAGTCGGGGACAGGAAGTAAACCTGCAGCCCAGGTCCATGCCCCTGACCAGGTATCAAACCCGAGACCCTTGGATGCTCGGGCTGACACTCTAACACTGAGCGCACCCCCTCCCCCCAAGGCCAGAAGGGGCATGTGAGGAAGGCTTTGAGCCAACGAGAGGAGGAGACAGCCCGATCCTTGTCAGGCTTCCCGGCCCCGGGGACCGGAGGGCGCAGCTGTGTCCAGTGCTGTGGTCAGCAGAGGCTCCACACAGCGCAGCTCGGAGGCCTGCGGCACTGGGGACTGGGCCGTCGTGCTGTTCCCAAGGACCCGCCTCGGGGAAGGGACCCAGATGGCCCTTTACCCCCCGCAGAGCAGGTGCTGGTGCAGGATAAGTTCATCTCAGACCTCACGTGTCAGGCGTGTGCAGTTTCCGTTCCAGAGTCTGGCGTTCCTCTGGCCTCTCTTCAGGTCGCATAGATCTTCCGCCTTTTAAAGTGTGTGACGCTCTAAGTAAATGTCACACATGACCCGAGCCAGGTGCAGTGGTTTCTCGTGGGTGTGCAGTTGTGCCCCCACCGTCCAGCTGCAGACTTCTGTCTCCCCAACTGGAAGCCGTGCCCAGCAGGAGGCGCCCCACCCCGCCCCTGGCCACCGGGACCCTGCCCGGTATCTCCGCCCGCCCGTTCTGGACGTCTCCTGTACACCGCTTCCCGCCCTGTGCACAGCGCGTAGGGAGGCTGGTGTTTCTTGTTCCTGCTGCTCAAGCCCTCGGCGTAGCTCAGGAGCGGGCAGCGCGTGGGGCCGGCTGCAGGGCCGCTGGGAGGGGCTGCGAGAGGCCTCTGAGGGGCGCCCCCCACACACAGTCCTGCGGGCTGTCCTCACCCAGGGCAGGACGGCGAGCGTCCGCCGGGGCTGGGTGCCTTCTACCTCTGCTCTGTAAGCACCGGCTCCCGAGCTGCGCTCTTCACTAATGTGCACGGGGCCTGGCGTGTTTAGGGAAACGGCCGATGGCTGGTGAGCGAGTGTCTCTCACACTAGAAACAGGAGCTCGGCCGTAGAAGCAGCCAGTTCGCGTGGAGCACTTGGTCCTGAGCACAGCTCGCCAAGCCCGCGGCGAGGCCCTCAGGGCGAGGAGCTCTCAGGTCCGGCCGAGGGTGGAGTGGCTCAGCCTCACCACGTTCTGTGTTCGTGTGTGTGGAGTACCTGCTGCCCATCAGGCTCTGTCCTAGGGGCCTGGGGCTTGTCAGTCAGCCACACAGATCAGCCCCGGTCGTCAGGAGCTTGGTCTGTCGGAGAGAGACAGCGAACACTACGCCTGCGGGCCTGGACGGTGGAAGTGCCACAGGAGAGCCCGGGCAGGGCAGCGGGGTCCGGCCAGGCTGAGCTCCTTGGGAAGGTGGGGGCACCTCCCCAGAAGGAGGGGCACCTGGAGCATCTGTAGACGCATGTGCCCGGCCTGGAGAGGGCCAAAGGGCACGTCGGCTCCCGGTGCACCCTTTTCTCGAGAGCAAGGCGAGCAGTGCCGTCTGCAGTGAATGGGTTTGTGGGCAACGATTTGCTGGTCTTTGAGGTCACTTTACAAACGTTTTTTGGTTTCACAGGTC